CAAAGGCCCCTGGAGAGACAGAAAAGCAAGCAACAGGTACTCAGACCTCAGGCTGCTCATTTAGGTTTCTTCTGGCCCAGCCTTCAGTCAGTGGCATCAAGAGACCTTCAGAATTTGTTTTGACAACTGCCAAGCCAACTTCCACCTTTCATCTGAGCGTTTGAGACCTGGGCATGTTAGAGGCAAACGGCTAAGAACTCTTTGACTATTAGCCACATTCTATTTCACCTTCTTATCAGGCCTCATAATTAGGGGCTTACATTGACCTCCTGCTTACTAAGCAGTACACATACCTCATCTCTGTTAGTTCTCGGAACCACACTAGGAGGCTGCTGCGGTCATTGTCCACATTTTGCAGATGAGACAACTGAGGCCCAAATCCAGAGGCATATATGGGGAGGCCTCACACACTTAACCATACACCTTACTGTTCTCTAATCAGATTTTCTAAATGCCTTCCTGAAAATAAGACACATTTCACCTATGGCATTCTCCTAGTCTTTTAACTAAGTAGCCTGCTCAAAAATTTTATTCTTTCTAAATCCATGTTGGTGCTTAGTAAGCACTATGTTTTATTTGACACATTCATAGGCCATATGCTTAATAATCTGCTCTAGATTGAGATATTTTTGGTCATAAATAAATCTCTTTCATAATGAGATAGAGATGTGCTTTTTAGCACATTTGGGACAATTTTAGCACCAACTGCACATGACAGTTAGTCTGAGTCTCCAGCCATCTGATCATACTTATCTTACTTCTAAGCTTTCTGGCATGTTTTTCCTAAAATATGAGACATAGGTTCAATATTCCCCCACTTAGTCATCATAACCTCAGGTAACAGTGATTATACAGTACTTACTATGAGCCAGGCACTGGTGTAAACCCTTCCCTTTATTAACTCATAGAACCACACAATGAGGTGGCATCAGTAGCCTCCCCAGGAAACTGAGGCACAAGAGAAGTAACTTGCTCATGATCAAATAGCTTGTAAGGGGCATCTAATTTTGAACCTAGGCTGTCTTTCACCATAGACTGGGCTCTGGGTCACAATATGACCTGCCTCCATACTGTGATGTGG